TATAATTTGGATGAATAGTTTTTATTCTTTACAACGCGAAGTTATTAATATAATAAAGATTGGTTGGGTTGTTTAATCGGTTTTATGATTGGTCAACTGCCTCATGATCAAACCCGTGCATTTCCGAAAAATGAGAAAGCTCCCGTGCTTCCCCGTGACCGGGGTGCATGGTGTACTAAATTATAAAACCTCAAAAAAAAGCAAAAGATTTTGCGGATTTCGCCTTTCCTATATGGAAACTCGCAATGTATATTTCCTCACTTCTTTATATCATTTTGACACGTCAGGAACGACTTTTCTTGTTTAATATTTGTAGGAAAGAGATCAATAATGAATTTACCACAACATACTATACTATTCACACTTTTAAATCGATAGTTATTTCTTTGTATATATATATTCCCGAAACCATAGATCCAATACATTATATACATTATTAATGGATCAATTTTTGGTATATTCATGCCATATAACCTGTTTTCATATATTAGTAGTTTACTACGTAACAATTACAACTTACACTTATAGGTTTATAGTCATCCCCCAATGTTTGTTCCAGACCATATAACAGATTTTTTTTTTTTTTTTATATCATTATTATTATTATTATTATTATATTATTAATTACAGTACGTAGACATATTGTAGAAATTTTATACAAAAGGATATATTTTATATGAAATATAATTTACTACGTATTTTTGTATTTACATTTTGCAAAAGCATCCAAAAAATGTCACTTCTCTTATATCATACAAAGATTCGGAAATTTTATTATTCGCTTTTTTTTTTTTTTTTTACCTCTTAAATCTAGTATTTTAAACAATTGTGTATACAAAACAACGCATTCGCCTTACTACGTATTACTGAATTTAATGCATATCAGTTTATTATATATCAGATATGATAAAGTTGATTAATTTTGCATTTAATATATCATTATGTGATATTAGAAAAATATAAAGAATTGTTATATATTATAAACCAGGTTTTTTGCATTATGAATTTTAGTGACGTATAACTGTATAAGTACATTTTCTGCGTTTCATAATATGTTGTGACATTCCTTATTTGTACGTAGATGCAACGCGAGAAAAAAATATAAATATGTAAGAATTCAATTTTAGTATCAGTATTGCAAATCCATGTATAAATATAAAAAAAGCAAATTTATTTGATTAAAGTAGAAATTTGTACAAAGAGGTTGCTTTTTTTTCTTTCTTTCTTTCTCATGATTATTATTTTTAATAATAATTCAAATAAGTCAATAAATCAATACAACAGCTCATGATTACTCTAAAACTATGTAGATTTATGGCATCCTGAAACTTTTGAATAAACATATAATGATTGCATTTGATCTTTGTCTTGGCTCTTGGGCGGATTTCGAGCTTTGTTTAGTAAACGAGTCTGAAGTGGGTCTATATTAAAATGAGTTGGATTATGGGTTGCTGTATAGGGAAGTTCAGGAATTGGTGGACCAAACTCTGCTCTAATTTTCTTATGTCCGCGGTCGATATATTGGCCATGCGTTCGATAAAATTCATTCATCTCGTTAAGAGGGCCATAAAAATCAAATGGTGCTTTCTTGCACTTTTAAGTATTAATTATTTTTAATCATTAATATAGAAGCATTATAATCGAATTTAATTTAATATATATGTACGAAATAATTACCTCTTCAAGCCTTTTGGCTTTAGCAGCAGCACGAAGTTTTTGAATCTCTGCATCGCGACGACGTTTATCCTCGGCTTCTTTCTCTTGTTGCTTTTGTTGTCTCTTAATAGTTTCTGCGGTTTCTCGAGCCAGTCTAAATTGCTCTTCCTCTCGTCTACGTCTCTCCTTTAAATTCATAAACGATTAGGTAAAATTGTATAAAATTAAATTATTATTTTTTTTTTATAAAAGTACTTACTTCATCGGCTTTTCGAAGAGGTCCATAATATAACTCACTATAAACTTGCTCCCATGTGAGCTTTCGTTCTGTAGGTAGAACCCATGGTTCATAGTTGTCGATCATTTCTTGTGGAATTATTCTTTTTTCCTCTTTAGGAGGGGACGGAGGTGGTTCTGTTCTTGGAGAATTTTGGGATAGAGTTTGTGTGGAAGTTGGAGATATATTCTGGGTTTGGGCCTTAGCTTTGCCCTTCGGTTTTGGGTTTGTAACAGTAGTTTTTCTTCGTTTCGCAGGGCGATTTTTTTTCTTTTTAAAACAAATATGCTCAATCAGTTGAAGAACTCCCAAAAGCATATATCATTTATCTTATAAAACGGTTTAATCGATAAATGAACCGATAATGAATTATATACCTTTGATATTTCTTTTTATCGTGTAATACCGATTTGGTGAGTCCAAAATGATCATTTTTTTTGCAAAGTTGGTGGATTTGGAAAAATACATACAACAAACAAGAAAATTAGAGGGAAAAAGATGAGATATTCGTTCATTGGAAATACAACTATAAAAATTTCCAAACTACAAGTCGCTAATAAATTTTTATTAGGTATGTAATTTTGTTAAGGGCAAACTGTACCACATTGAACAAAAAAAAAAAAGAAAAAAAAAGGGGAAGAAATATCGTATTGGGTTGGAGCTTTCAAATATCTATGCGCCCCTTTCAATGCTGCGCTATATGGCGGCATAATATTTGTCACAACAAACTTGAAGAATAAATGCGCTAATATATTGAAAATAGGATTCTCTGTACTGTGGGCCTCACTTTCCTTCCTTCCCCCAGACAATTACGCAGCAATGAAAGAGTGAAGGGGTAAAAGAAAAAAAGCAAATAGGAAACAGATTGAATAAGGACTTTCACTGATCTAAACAGTCTCGCTACCTGAATCTTCCGATTCTGAACCAGATGAATCAGAACTCTGACTGTCTGAAGAATCGTCGTCCGAACTGTAATGACTTCCATATTTAGCTATAAAATGAGATATATTCATTTAAGTGAGGTGATCTTCTAAAGATGATTTAAAATAATTTTATGTATAAATTAAGCTATACCTTGGGGAGACGGTGTTGGTGATTTGTGATCAAATTTTGCCAAAGTTCTTTCTAAGGCTAGAATTTTTTGTTCTTGATCTTTTTCATTGGCATTTGTACGAGGTTTTTTAGAAGGAGGCCCTCTTTTTTTAGGACTAGCTTTTTTTGGTGTATGCCTCAATACAAAATCATACATCTTCCTTGCAGTATTATAATCAAGCGATTCAATTTCTATTTCATAACCGCCGCTTCCCCTCTAAAGATAAACCAAATTTTAATAATACTGAATAAAGGTCGTGATTAAAACAATGACGATCTTAAAAGAATCAAATGAGAATACCTCCATAGGAGCACCACTTTCTTCGACTAATTTGATAAGTTCATTCATATTATCTGTTGAGAGAAGTTCGATTCTTTCACTAAGATCAGCCTTTTGTTCTGATGTCAGTCCTTCCTGCTCTTCACGTTTATTAGTAGCTCGAGGACGTTTTAATGATTTCTTTCCATCTTCGACGGGCTTACTAATATCCGGAATACTTTTAGTTGTACTAGGCTTTGCACTTTTTGCTGCCTTTTTAGCCTTTGCTTTGGATGGTTTTCGCATCTGAGAAATTTGACTTGATAAAGCAGCCAAATGTTTTTGCAAAGCCTTCAGATGATCGCCTATAAGTATATATTAAATTATTATTATTATTATTTAGAAATTTTCGTTTTAATATTAAAATACAAAAAATAGGTATAATATTATAAAAATTAAAAAACTTACTTTCATCTGCTTCAGATTCACTTTCAGATTCTTGACGAACCTGGGCCTTTGGTTTTTCTGCCCACTTTTTATCAAAAACTTTTTCCAACTCTTTACCCATATTATACACATCGCTTCCAGGGCCGTTATAAGTATAACAATTCTGAAACATAAGACGGATATCAGCTTCAAACTCATCAGCATTTACATAATGATCATTTTCCAGTTTAGTATTAATAGTAGAAAGATCCATTGGACGTGTGATAATTTTATAATAATCAGGAACACCTAATTTTGCAGCATCAACAGGTTCATAAAATGGGT